TTAATCGAAAAAAATAATTTACAGATTAATCAATTTGCAAAATAATAGTTAGTTGAAGTCCTACTAAAAAGCCTTTAGAAAAGAAAGGAAAAAGAGAAATCTTTCAGGGGTTAGCATACTTATAGATCAGGGAGTATTGAGCTGTAAACCCACTTTGGACAAAGAGATATGAATACCGGTAATATTAAACCAGAAAGTTTGGTGTTTGTTTCTGAACAGTAATCTTTTGTAGTAAAAAGCTAGATGCAACAGCAACATCTTCATATACCTGGGTTGCCTTTTTGAACACCCTGGAACAGTCAGAATGTATGTATATTTAATCCTATTCTGTTTAAAAATCTGCAATCTTTTTTTTTTTTTTAGAATTTTCAGTCTTTAAAACCTTTTGGAAATTTGCATTAAAAATATTTCTGTAGGTGTATTTTATTATCTGCAATTTCCAAAGGTGTTCAATAAAAATGAAATTGAAGTTATGATTCCAAAGTCTTAAGTCAAAATATTCTGTGGGCTGTTTATGCAAAAGCTGAGTATTCCTGAAGCTCTATGCACTTTCCGTTAGTTGTAACCGTAATTTCCAGTGATCTTTGTAGATAACCAGCAATAACCATTTATGAAATTTACAAAAAAAAATGTAATTTAGCTCCCCTTATTAACAAACAGAAAATAAAATGATACTTTTAGAAAAGCTAAATTTGTATTTATGTGGGTTGTCTTGCCTAATATGCCAATAAAATTAGTTGGATAATATCACAATTGTTGTTGTGGAATGAAAAGAAAATGGAAGAAGTCTGTAAGGATGTGAATACTTTTTTGATGCCAGTTTGCCTCTGAGCTTTTTCTTAACCTGTTCTGACACTCTCAGACCAACAGTCCTCATCCTTCTGGTCTGTCTTCCCTAGGGGGATGTTTCATGCTGAGTTCTCACCTCAGCTTATTAAACCTCATCAACACCTTTCTTCCTCTAGGCAGTTTTTAAATATGGCCAGTCGATTTAAAGGCTTAACCTCTGTCTAACCATTTGTCAGAAAAATATATAATTAATTTGTTCTTCCAGTTTTTTTTGTTTTTTTTTACTGCCATGAAGGAAACGATAATATAGATGCAGGATACTACTGCACCTTTGTATTTATCTCAGCTAAGTGCTATTTTTCCAAAGTGTATTAATATTCAGGAATTGCTGTTTCTGTCTGCAGTTTGGTCCTTTGCAGAAACTCCAAATTCAACAGAGGAAGGTTTAAGCGTTTGATAAAAAGGAACCGCCATTATATCTGGCACCAATCTGCTTCTTTAGCTGTGGAAAAAACACAAAACTATTGTTTGTTTTTCATATAGAGCCAGTTAAAAACCAGCTTTGGCACCAGTTTTTCCTCAGATTCTGTTGCAAAAGCCAAAATAGCAACACAGCTTACAGGTGGCAACATATTGTCTGAACCAGTGGTGATTAGACTTTAAAAACAGCTTAATAAGCTATAATCTAAAGCTGCTAAAGCAACCCCCTGTCTGTCTGTCTGTCTGTGCTACAGTCCTCTGTGTGTATTTCTCGCAGTAAGGTGTGAATGCTTGGGCAGCTGCAGCTCACCTTCTGCCTTACTGTTTGCCATCTTGAACACACCCTGGCCTCTACACACAAATGGTCTTATACGACAGCAGCTGTTTGATCAAGAAAAATAGGAAAGAAGCCTTAATCCTTGTTTATATAAAGACATTTATTGTCTTTTATTAACCTTTGACAAAGGAGCAGCTACTGACCTAAGAACATTGTAATATGATGTCACTGCTCGTGTGGAAATCAGGCCGATTTTATTCATGTTCAGTGTGTTAGAGCCGTACCTCAAAGGTCAGTGCATTAAATTATGTTTTTAACTTTTCTGTGCAGGCTGCAGGTTGAATCTGTCTGCTGAGGAGTAAGCCAGACTCAACGTTATCAGGTAAGCTTAACTGGCACACAGCTCAGTCCTGTGTTGTGAATGTAATGCCTTAAGCCTTTCTGGGGGATTTTAGCGCCTGGGCAGTGCTGCAGTAAAAGATGGCTGTCCGTATAGTTTGATGCTGTTTAAATTGAACGATTCAGCAAATGGAACAGATAACTGTGGGCGGATGTGATTTATCATCGTCCAAATAAAGGAAAAGTCTCATTACGATACTCATACGGAAATGCACTGATCCAACAATGGTCCTACAAAGATTTATGGATTTTTGTTTTAGAAGAAGAATGTCTATAATCACACCATGAAGAAGAAGGAAGGTGTACATTTTTTTCGGTGGCAATAATTCAAATTATTGCCACCAAATTAGATTCAGGTGGAAAGGACAATTATCCAATTAGATAAGACACAGTTATTTTTAGACTCGGTACGCCCAACAATTTTAGCCTGCAAACCTTTCATTCCAATAAGCGATAGACCGACATATTAGCCGGTTAATATTTTAGGCAAATATTTATGTTTGTTTGTTTTTTTCATGTATCATCAGTGGTGTCAAAAGTACACACATTTGTTACTTAAGTGGAAGTATAGATACTGCAGTTTAAAAGTTGAAGTATCAACTTGACCTGTTTACTTAAGTAAAAATGAAAAAGCATGTGCCCCAAAAACTACCTGAAGTATAAATGTATAAAGTTAGCTTTAAAAAAAAACCAGCCAGATGCCACTATATGATTTAAAAGCTCAATTTTACGACTATTTCGAAAAATTCTTTCAGATAGTGCCAAGGATAAGGGAGGTCTTGTTGGGCTCCGTCTCCATCTCCTGATTTCTGCATGTTTTGCTCCTGCGAATTTAATGATAGTATCGTGCATGCTCTCCTAAAGCTCCGAGGATAAGTCAGAGCGCAGCAATACGGGAGGAACAGCGGAGGCTGTAGGCTTTGCTTTGAGCAGGAGGTCTGGAGCGCTGCAGGGTGGAGCGGAGGATGTGGGATTTCGGGGAGAAGAGGCGCAAGTGACGTTTGGATTGTTGTCGGACAACAGTCTGTTAATAATTGTTAATACAAGTTTTAAATCAAGTTAGGTCTAGATTAGCCAGCAGGTGGGTCTGGATCCGGACCGCGGTTTCAGCAGCTGTCTTAATATCTGCTGCACAGAGTTATCATTAGTTGAGCTTCCCTCACTTACTTGGCAATAAATTCTTAAAATCATTAATTCATAAAATCCAATATATCTACACAAGATGGATTTCAGTATATTTTATTTTGTTGAAGTAAATATATTTTGTGTCATTCCTATAATTTCACATATATTTTCTTCCAACACTTTGTGACAATGATTATTTTTCTTTATGTATCCTTAACAGTTTTCAGTCATTTTATGCAGCATAGGTTATCGTAACGTCTTCTACGTGAACATTTAATGAGAGCAAAACTATTGTTCACTTAATGGTAGCGAACTGTAATGCAGCTCTACATATCTGGCTACATTGTTCCCAGCATGCAGTGCAGCTTTCATTATTCATGGCTGCGCAAAGGAGGGGTGCAGTTTGACAGCTGGTAGGTCGGTGATGAAGCCATACCCTTCAGCACACCTGTGTGTGTGTGGGTGGGTGTGTGGGGGTAGGTTTGGGTGTGTTAGAGAGAAGGTTTGAGGGGGATGGGGCGGAGTTACTGGGCTCAGAAGATTTGCTATGCATTTTTTATGTATCTTACTAGAGTCATTCAAGCATGTGTTTGAGCAATCTCTATATATATGTATGAAAATGTTGACCTACATTTGTTATCATTCATATCAGTGAATTTTTTGTCTGTTTTTTTTCTGTGACCCTTATTTAACTTAGTAGTTTATCCCACAGCCGGCTTCTGCATTATTTTTTTTTAACAGAGGGCCGATTTATTGTTCCTTTAGTCCAGGATGCCCTATAGCCATAAAAAAGCCCAGCCCACTACACTACCATCACTGTTTGACACTCAGTACAAAGTTTCTTTCTTTTCTTTTTTTTTTTCTCTTGAAATACTGGTAGTTTTGCATCAGATGTTAAATGGAGGCACTTGCCAAAAATTCACTCCTTTGTCTCTTCAGTCCTCAAAATGTTTTACCCAAAAAAACACTTAAATCATCAGAATCTGTTTTGGGAAATCTGAGAAAACATTTTCTCTTCAGTTTTGTCCCAACTCTCCCATCAGAGGCCTGGTTTCCTAGCTTTTTTATTTATTTACTTTTTATATTACCATCCTATTATTATTTATTATATAGTGGTCTTAACTGAAACAAGCTCAGTCTGTAACACTAAAATGAGTCATTGATAAAATTTTGATGTGATTTTGTTGTTCTGCCTCTGCTGAGAAGGTTCATTACTCTTTGATTTTTTTTTTTCTATAGTGGATTTCTGTGTAAACCTTCAAAACTGCTGTATAATTCTAGATAACTGAAGTCAAAGACATTATTTCTCACCTGACCTTGAAATGCTTCATAATGAGGTATAATGTGTTTGTTGTTTTCCTTTAGTTTTTGTTAGAGCCTGCTTCATGTTGTCAAACCGCTTTTGTTTAAATACGACATCATTTCTACAAGTCAGTGATTAAAATCATCTTTAGAAAATAGCTTTATGTCCGAAGTTCAACTATCCTTAAATAATGAAGTGAAAAAATAGGAATACACTTAATGAATAGGGTTTGTTTTAGGAATGCAACTAACGTTTTTCTTGCAAATTGATTAATCTTTCAACAATTTTTTCAATTAATAATCGGATAGCCAAAGGTTCTTTAAGATTTTTTTTACTAAATTAAACCAGGTGAAACTAAAAATTTTCCACTTGAGGAGTTCTGGATATTGACAGATGGCAGATATTTTTTTTATCTTAAATGGAAAATGTTAATATATGTATTTTTTTTTTTTTTACAATACTGGTCTAATTTCAGCTCCAAGTGTGTCCCTCTGTCACCAGAAGGCATGTTTTAGAGTCTCTATACTCCAATTAACGATTAATCATTAATTGATTAATAAATAAGTTGATGATTATTTCAATAATTGATTCATCACAATTAATCCAATTAATTGTTTCAGCCCTAGTTTGTTTAACAGCGATTCTAATAAGATGCCAACTCTTACCTCATGATAACAGCCTCGCAAATATTGCATCACAGCAATAGAATTTGATATTTTCTGCTATCCTTATTTGCGGCTAACTTATTTCTTCTATTTCTACTCTCCCTACATTGTGTTCGATGCAATGTTTTTTTTTATTCTCTGACCTCCTCTCTCCCCATTCCTACTGTATTTCCCTGCTGTTCCGTCTCATCATTATTTCACTCTTTATACCCTCTCCGTGTCTCCTGTCTTCTCACTTTCTCTTGAATTACTTAGATTCCTGCTTTAATCATTTTTAATTATGTTTAAAATAAATCCCTTTTAGAGATAAAGCTTTCTTCCTTATGAATATGAGAAAACTTCTCATACAGATGATTAAATTGACTTAAAGTTGATGGGAACCAAATGTATGAAATCAAGTTTGAAAAAAACACTGACAGATGAGTTGGACACCTTGGAAGTTCTTCTTTTCTCTGATAACTTTTAACTTAAACTCCCCAGAATGATGAAGAAGAAAACACAAACCAAAATATGATTGTCAGATGCCTTTATTCACACATATAGGTTTAAAAAGACGTTCTTCCTTGTTGGAGCCCATGATTGATTTATCTTGTTTAGAATGTGTTTCTATCCTAAGTGCCTCTGTGCCATAAACTCTGTAAATCATCCATCATGTTTATGACCCTCTTCATGTGTTCTGATTGCTTTCTGCATGTTCCTCCCAGTTATGACGGAACATAAGGAGGAATTTGCATCCATGCTATTGATTTCATTTCTGCTGCAAGCGTACTTAAAGTCCATAAACATCATCAGACCATGGTTCTGCCACTAAGTACTCCAGTGCATTATGGGAATGCATCAGACATTGCAAACTACTATTCTTAGATCTGTTTTACTCCTAGTTTTCACAAAGATGTTTTCAGGCTGATTTTGATATTAGTATAAGTAAATACACAGGTAGAAGATTGTTTCTGTTCAGGTCGTTTCCTCTAATTCCTCTGCTTTTTGCTCCACTGAGGTGTGAAGCCAAGAAGCAGACACCGATCACATAAAAAAAAAAAAAAAAAAAAACACTGATAAACCCAGAAGTGAGATTAAAACAACTCATTCTAAGGATTTACTTCCTTCTTTTATTTTTCAGTGTCTCTATAGTAGATTTGCTGATGCGGTTGATTTTCCTGTTTTTGGGATCGCTTGCATTTAGCTTCAGCTGCTCTACGGAGGCCCAGGTGGGACTCTAAAACACTTTGGTATACAGAGAACTCCCATTTTTGTGTGTGACTCAGAACCATTTATTTCCCCAGATTTAGAAGCTGGGAACTGGCACAAACCACCACCCTCCACCATCCTGTTTAACAGTTTATATTGGGTGCATGTGCTGATTTCATATTTGTTTTTGGGTTTTTTTTTATGTTTTTTGCTACATTCATTCTAAACAAACCTTATTGTTAAACCTCTGTAATTCTCCCCCTAGGGGGTCCACTACATGGGGGTCGCAAAAGTTTTGGTTGATTAGCCTTTTTTTTTTTTTTTTATATTCCCCCCTGCAATTTTTTCCACTAGTTGAAATCCACATTAACATGAATTCAACAGACTGTAGTAAACAGATAAATGGAGGCAGAAGATGTCTTTCAGTCATCAATTGAAACATTCAGCGACTCACTAGAGCTCTTTCAAGCTGGGCACCGTTTTATTCACAACACCTGTCCCATCAGCGAGGAATTAGAATCAGAAATACTTTAATAATCCCATGGAAAAAATATTTTTCCATATATATATATATATATATANAATTTATACACCTGTGGCCATGGAAGTGATTGGAACACCTGATTCCAATAATTTGGATGGGTGAGCAAATACTTTTGGCAATATAGTGTATATATGGATGGATGGATATAGAGATATATA